TGATAGTTTTACTTCTTCCTTTCCCATCTGGATCCCTTTTCTCTTTTTATTTGATTGCTGTGGCTAAAACTTCCAATAATGTATTGAAAAAGAAAGGTAAGAGTGAACATCCTTGTCTTGTTCCCAATCTTAAGATGCTTACAGTTTTGAGTATGAAGTTGGCTGTGGGTTTGTCATATTTGGCCTTTATTACATTAAAGTATGTTCCTTCTTTGCTAAGAAGTTTTTTGTTTTGTTTTGTTTTTATGGTAAATGGGTGCTGAATTTTGTTAAATGCTTTTTTTGCATCTATTGATTTTTATTCTTTATTTTGTTTATGTAGTGTATCAGGTTAACTGATTGGTGGACATTGTACCTTCCATCCCCAGAATAAATCCCAACTGATCATGGTGTATGATCTTTTTAATGTATTGCTGGATCCAGTTTGGTAATATTTTATTGAGGATGTTAGCATTTATGTTCATCAGGGATACTGGCCTATAATTATCTTTCTTTGTAGTGTCTTTATCTGGTTTTGGAATTAGGATAGTGCTGGCCTTGTAAAAATGAGCTTGGGAGTTTTCCCTCCTCTTGCATTTTTTGGAATAGATTGAGAAAGATCGGTGTTAGTTTTTCTTTGACTGTTTGGTAAAATTCACCTTTGAATCCATCCAGTCCAGGGTTTCTGTTTGTTGGGAGTTTTTGTTTTGTTTTGTTTTTTACCCTCACCTGAGGACATTTTTGCATTTATCTTCAGATAGAGCAGGAGAAAGAGAGGGGGGAAGAGAGAAAGAGAAGCATTGATGTGAGAGAGACACATCAACGGGTTGCCACCCACACGACCCCAACGGGGGCCGGGGACAAACTGCTACCAAGGTACATGCCCTTAGCGGGAACCAAACCCAGGACTCTCTGGTTCGCGAGCGGACGCTCTGAACACTGAGCCAAACCTGCCAGATAGAGATAGAGAAACCGGCCAGGGCATGAGTTTTTGGTTTTTAATTACTGCTTCAATTTCACTTGTAATCTATCTATTCAGATTCTCTGATTCTTCCTGATTCAGTTTTGGAAGAGTGTATGTTTCTAGTAATTTATCCATTTCTTCCAGATTGTCTAATCTGTTGGTATATAGTTGTTCATAATATTTTCTTACAACCCGTTGTAATTCTTTGATGTCAGTTGTCACTTCTCTTTCATTTCTGATTTTATTTATTTGGGTCTTTCTCTTTTTTGTCTTAATGAGTCTGGTTAAATGTTTGTCCATCTTGTTTATCTTTTCAAAAAACCAGTTCTTGGTTTCATTGATCTTTTGTATATTTTTATACTCTATTTCATTTCTGTTCCAATTTTTATTATTTTCTTCCTTCTACTCACTTCAGGCTTTGTTTGTTGTTCTTTTCCCAGTTCATTTAAGAGTAAAGTTAGATTATTTATTTGAGATTTTGTTTGTTTCTTGAGGTAGGTCAGTAACACTCTAGGAATTTTCCTCTTAAGACTGCTTTTGCTTTGTCCCATAGATTTTGGATTGTTGTGTTCTCATTTTCATTTGTTCCAAGGTATCTTTTGATTTCTTCCTTGATCTCATTGTTAACCCATTCATTGCTTAATAACATGTTATTTAGTCTACAAGTCTTTTTCAGGTTTTTTCCTTGTGATTGAATTCTAGTTTTATACCATTACGGTCAGAGAAGATGCTTAATATGATTTCAATCTTCTTAAATTTATTGAGACTTGTATTGTGTCCTAACATATGGTCTATCCTAGAAAATGTTTTATGTGCACTTGAAAAGAATGTATAGTCTGCTGCTTTGGGGGTGAAATGCTCTGAAGATATCAATTAAATCCATCTTATCTAGTGTATCATTTAAGGTCACTGTTTCCTTGTTGATTTTCTGACTGGAAGATCTATCCATTGATATCAATGGGGTGTTAAAATCCCCTACTATGACTGTATTATTATCAATCTCTCCCTTTATGTCCATCAAGATTTGCTTTACATATTTAGATGTTCCTATGTTGGGTGCATAAATGCTTACAAGGGTTATATTCCCTTATTGTGTTTATCATTATGTAGTGTCCTTCTTTGTCTATTAAAGTCTATTTTGTCAGATATAAGTATTGACTATGCCAGATTTTTTAAAATTTCCATTTTCATGAAATATCTTTTTTCATCCCTTTATTCTGCAGTGGGTCTCTTGCAGAGAGCATATATGTGGGTCTTGCTTTCTTATCCATTCAGTTACCCTAGGTCTTTGAATTAGAGCATTTAAGCCATTTACATATAAAGTGATTATTGACAGATACATTTTTATTGCCATTTTACTACTGTGATTTTTTTGTTTTTGTTTTTTTAATCCTCACCCAAGGACATTTTTGCATTTATCTTCAGATAGAGCAGGAGGGAGAGAGGGAGAAAGAGAGAAACATCCATGTGAGAGAGACATATCGAGTGGTTGCCACCCACATGACCCCAACTAGGGTTGGGGACGAACCACAACCAAGGTATGTGCCCTAAGCGGAACCGAACCCAGGAGTCTCTGGTCCACGGGCCGACGCTCTAACTGCTGAGCCAAACAGGCCAGGGCTACCCTTGTGTTTTAATGAAGTACATTCTCTAGTAATTTTCTGAGAGAAATTACATAGAAGGTCAATCTTTTTGACCTTGCATAAGTGAAAATGTCTTTATTTGATCTTCCCTTTTGAATAATAGTTTAACTGGGTGTAAATTATCACTTAGAAACATAAATTTTCCTTTAAAAATTTGAAGCCATTTCTCCCTTGTCTTCTAGATTTCAGAATGGCTTTTGAGATTTTAAATCTATTCTGGTTTTTTATCTTTTGCATATGACATGTTTTTCTCTTTAATAACTTGAAGAATTCTCTCTTTATCCCTGATTTTAATAAATTTCACAATAATATGTCTTGGGGTATTTTTATTCACAATGTTGGGACTTTTTAATTAAAATTTTGTATCCTTGCCCTGGCCAGTTTGGTTCAGCCATTAGAGCATCAGTTCGCAGACCAGAGAGTCCCGGGTTCAGTTCCCACTGAGGGCATGTGTCTCGGCTGCAGTTTGGCCTTGGTTGGGTGGCGACCACTCGATGTGTCTCTCTCACATCAATGTTTCTCTCTCTCTCCCTTCTGCTCTATCTGAAGATAAATGTAAAAATGTCCTCTGGTGAGGGTAAAAAAAATTTTGTATCCTTTATTTCTAGAAAAAATTTTAAACTATTTCTCTGATGATTTCCTTCTTTTTATTTATTTACTTTTTTGTTCTCTTTCTGGAACTCGTATTAGATTGTATATTGGATGTCTAGGACTGGTCCTCTAATTTTCCTAACTTTTCTTTCCAATTTTTTATTTCTGCCTTTTTGCTCTACTTTCTGGAAGAGTTTCTAAATTTTATTTTCCAGTTTTTCCATTTAGATTTTTATTTACACCATCACATTTTTAATTTCCAAAAGCTTTCTTTAATCATACCAGTGATACCTCGGTTCTCGAACATAATTCGTTCCAGGAGGACGGTCGAGAACCGAATTGTTCGAGAACCGAAGCAATGAAACCCAATAGGAAAGCGTGACTCCACAAAGCGTGACTCTCTCCACAAAGCGTGACTCTCTCTCTGCACTCACACTGATGACGCAAGCAAGGCGCGCTGGGCCGAATGAACGCCATTCGGCTCAACTCGGCTCATCTCGGAAGTTCGAGTTCCAAATATTTGTTCGGATTCCGAGACAAAAGTTTCTCGAATCTCCTGGTCGAATACCGATTTGGTCGAAAACCGAGGCGTTCGAGAACCGAGGTATCACTGTTACTTTAAAATATATATATTTCTAATGTCTTCTCTTATCTCTCTGAAGGTAATTCTTTGACATTTTCATCTCTATGCATATAGCTCTGTTTTTTCCAAGTTTCTTTCCCCATTTATTTGTTTTGGTTTTTATCTTTCATCTCAGAGACTTTTCTCCAATATCTAGTAGTCCTTAGTTATGAGTTCACTTTTAAGAAAAGCTTATAGAAATCACTGAGGACATGGGTAACATTTTAATATAGGATGATCTGGCTGGGTCAATTATTTGATAAAACTCTTCTCAGTATCTTTAGGTCTTTCTCCTGGAGTGGTTAGCTTTCCTCAGAGAGTATTTTTCAGTCACCTCCCTAGAGAGTAATGTCCAGATGCTAGTGTTCTGTGAGCTCAATGGGAGAAAAAAGGCTTATAGGATTCAATACACAATTTACAAATATTCACTTAATACCTCTATCTTCAGAATACCCCTACTGCAGCTGTGCCTGGTGTGCCTAAGGCCTGGGACTCTCTAATTCACCCTTTTCAAAGAATAAAACTCCATTACTTTGCCAGGTGAGAGAAGACAGTCACTAGGCTATATGGATTTGAGGAGGAGATCTAGAAATTTAACTGCTTCACAGAGTTTCAACTTACCCTCCTATTTTGAGCCCCAACTTCCAGCCATACCTGATGTCACCAATTCCCAAGTATTTTGGAAGATCCTTGTAAATTGAGTTGCTTCTAGGCTTTCCCCAGGGCCAGTTTAGAAATTAAGTTTCTCAGCTCTTCTAGATCAGTTGCCATACATTCATCTCTTTTCAGCTTCCAAAGTTTTGTTTCTGTTGTCTCTTTTCTGACTTTTTATGTACCTTTGGGTTTCTGTCTTTAGGAAAAAAAATTATTCATTGTTAATTAATTAATTAATTAATTTTCCATTGATTTTTTATGTTTTAGAGAGAGTGGAAGGGAGGGAGGTAGAAGGAGAGGGGGGAGAGAGACAGCGAGAGAGTGAAAAAGAGAGAGAAACATTGATGTTGAGAGAGACACATCAATTGGTTGTCTCCCATACAGCCCTGGTCTGGGCTGGGAAAACCTGCAACCCAGGCAAGTGTCCTTGACTGGAATAGAACCTGTGACCCTGTGGTCTGTGGGCCATTGCTCTAACTGCAGAGCCAAACTGGTCAGAGCTCCTTTATTGTTCTTTTAATAAGGTTTCAGTAGGACACAAAAATAAATGAGTGAAAGAAGAAGCTGGTCTTTGAGTGACAGCAATGCAAGATGGCAGCCACCACATGCTCAGACAATTTATGAAAACCGAATACACAGTCTTAAAATAGAATGTGGACCTAAATACCCAGAAGCACCCTTCTTTGTAAGATTTTCCACAAAAAATGATATGAATGGAATTAATAGTTCTAATGGAGTGGTGGGCCCAAGAGCTGTATCAATGCCAGCAAATGGTGGAATTCATAAAGCATCAAAGTTGTCCTGCAGAAGCTTCAGTGCCTAATGATGGCTAAAGAAAATATGAAATTCCCTCAACCACTGGAAGGACAGTGTTACAGCAATTAATCAAAAAAGAAAATCACAAACAACTACTATGAACAATTATATGGCAACTAATTCGACAATCTAAGTGAAATGGACAATTTTCTAGAAACACATAGTCTCCCAAAACTGGATCAGGAAGAGATAGAAAACTTGAACAGACCAATAACAACAGAAGAAATTGAAGATGTAATCAAGACTCTCCGAGCAAACAAAAGCCCAGGCCCGGATGGCTTCACGGGGGAGTTTTACCGAACATTCAAAGAAGAACTAATACCCATTCTCCTCAAACTATTTCAAAAAATTCAAGAAAAAGGAAGACTTCCAAACTCGTTTTATGAAGCCAGCATAATTCTAATTCCAAAAGCAGAAAAAGACACAACAAAGAAAGAAAACTACAGGCCAATATCCCTGATGAACATAGATGCCAAAATCCTGAACAAAATACTAGCAAATCGGATCCAGCAATACACCAAAAAAATTATCCACCATGACCAAGTGGGATTCATCCCAGGGATGCAAGGCTGGTACAATACTGTATTCGCAAATCCATAAATGTGATACACCACATAAATAAAATGAAGAATAAAAACCACATGATAGCCCTGGCCGGTTTGGCTCAGCCTCTAGAGCGTCGGCCTACGGTCCAGAAAGACCCAGGTTCGGTTCCCGCTAAGGGCATGTACCTCGGTTGCAGTTTGTCCCTGGCCCTGGTTGGTCGTGCGGGTGGCAGCCACTCGATGTGTCCCTTTCACGTCGATGTTTCTCTTCCTCTCTCTCCCTCCCACTCTATCTGAACAACAAAACAAAAAAAATGGAAAAAAAAAAAAATGTCCTCGGGTGAAGATAAAAAAGAAAAAAACAAAAAAACAAAAAAAAAACCACATGATAATATCAATAGATGCTGAAAAAGCCTTCGACAAAATCCAGCATCCATTTCTGATAAAAACACTCAGCAGTGTGGGAATAGAGGGATCATATCTAGACATAATAAAGGCCATATATGAAAGACCTACAGCCAACATCATACTCAATGGGCAAAAACTAAAAGCATTTCCCTTAAGAACAGGAACAAGGCAAGGATGCCCACTTTCGCCACTCCTATTTAACATAGTACTGGAAGTCTTAGCCACAGCAATCAGACATGAAGAAAAAATAAAAGGGATCCAAATTGGAAAGGAGGAAGTGAAATTGTCATTATTTGCAGATGGCATGATACTGTACATAGAAAACCCCAAAGACTCCATCAAAAGTTTACTAGACTTAATCAATTAATTTGGCAAAGTATCAGGATACAAAATTAATGTCAAGAAATCGATGGCATTCTTATACACCAATGATGAACTCACAGAAAGAGAAACTAAGAAAACAATCCTATTTACCATTGTGGCAAAAAAATTAAGATACCTAGAAATAAACTTAACCAAAGAAATAAAGGACCTATTCGCAGAAAACTACAGGTCATTGAAAAAAGAAATAGAGGAAGATATAAAAAAGTGGAAGCACATACCCTGTTCATGGATTGGGAGAATTAACATCATTAAAATGTCCATATTACCCAAAGCAATATATAGATTCAACGCAATCCCCCTCAAAATACCAACGGCATACTTCACAGAATTAGAACAATTACTTCAAAAGTTCATATGGAGCCCTGGCCGGTTTGGCTCAGCAGTTAGAGCATCGGCCTGCGGTCCGGAGAGACCCGGGTTTGGTTCCCGCTAAGGGCACGTACTTCGGTTGAAGTTTGTCCCCGGCCCTGGTTGGTCGTGCGGTGGCAGCCACTCGATGTGTCCCTTTCACATCGATGTTTCTCTCTCTCTCTCTGTTCCTCTCTCTCCCTCCCACTCTACCTGCACAAAAAATGGAAAAAAATATCCTCAGGTGAGGATAAAAAAAAAAAAATGGGCAGAGGAACTAAATAAACACCTTCCAAACAGGACATACAAATGGCCAAAAGACATATGAAGAAATGCTCATCATCACTAATCATTAGAGAGATGCAAATTAAAACAACAATGAGGTATCACCTCACACCTGTCAGAATGGCCGCCATCAACAAATCATCAAACAAGTGTTGGCGAGGGTGTGGAGAAAAGGGGACTCTAGTACACTGCTGGTGGGAATGCAGACTGGTGCAGCCACTATGGAAAACAATATGGTGTTACCTCAAAAAATTAAAAATTGAACTTCCATTTGACCCAGTGATCCCGCTTCTAGGAATATACCCTAAGAAGCCTGAAACACCAATCAGAAAGAATATATGTACCCCCATGTTTGTAGCAGCACTATTTACAATCGCTAAGATCTGGAAACAGCCCAAGTGTCCATCAGTAGACGAATGGATAAAAAAGCAGTGGTAGAAGAGGAAAAATGGCGGCGGAGTGAACGGAGCTACACAGACCGTCTCCCAGAACCAAACTGGAATTACAACTATAACACAGACAAATCGACGGGAAAAAACAACAGAAAAGCAGCTTGGAGGACCATACAACGAGGGACACTGACTCCATCCCGGTAGGCTTGCGAAGGCGCGAGACACAGTCGGCAGCTCAGCAGCGGCCTTAGCTGGGAGCAGCGTCCTCGGGTCACACTCCCAGGCTGCTCCACAGCGCAGAGCCAGGACAGAGGCTGAAAGAGTCACAGCCACTCACCTTGGGCTCCGGCAGAGGGAGGGCAGACTGGACTGGAACTGTGTCGGGACACTCGGGGTTTGGAGGGCGCTCAGAGCTTTGGCTGAGTGCAGCCACTCAGGACGGTGGCCACATTGCTCCTTCCCAGAGCTCTGAGGAGAGGCAGCAGCCCCTCCCTCGGAGATCCAACCCCACCGTGTAGGCCATTGAAGTGCTAATTGAGGCTCACTAACAACCAGCATCTGCCCCACCCTCGTGAAAGCCCCTTGGCTGAGCACCAGAGAGAGTTTTTCAATCAACTGACAACCCAAAACTCATTAACCTAGACTGCTAGCCTCCAGGCAAAAAGCTAGAGGATAACAGTACGTTTCCTGGGCTGGCAACTTTAACCAGGAAAGTAAGACTTGACAGTGGTGTTCAACGTGGGTCTCCCCTCGCTCATCTAAACACAGGAGAGGGAGCCACAAACAGCAGAACACCAACACCCACAGGGAGAACTTGACAGGCTCCAAAGCCCACAGTGATAGCCAAAATGGTGAAACACAGAAACAGAAGCCAAATGAAAGAGCAAGACACCTCCACCGAAGATGAGATCAATGTGGAGCAATTAGGCATGTTAACAGAGCTAGAATTCAGAGCCATGATCTTGAAGAAGCTGAACAGCATGAGTAAGGACATAGAGACACTGAAAATAAGCCAATTGGAAATTAAAAACCAACAAGAAGAGATAAAAAATGACATATCAGAAATGAAAAACACATTGGAAGGTTTAAAAAGCAGAGTAGGGGAAGCTGAGGACCGGATCAGTGAATTAGAAGACAGGGTAGAAGAAATCAACCAATCAGAAAAACAAAAGGAAAAAACGATTAAAAAACAGGAAGACAGCTTAAGAGAACTATGGGACAACTGGAAACGTAATAATATTCGCATCATAGGAGTCCCCGAAGAAGAAGAAAATGAGCAAGGGATAGAGAATATATTCAAAAAAATAGTGAGAGAAAACTTCCCTAATTTGGTGAAGGAAGAAGGCATTCAAGTTCAAGAAGCACAGAGAGTTCCAAGTAAGAAGAACCCAAACAGGCCCGCACCAAGACACATAGTAATTAAAATGCCACAAATTAAAGACAAAGAGAGAATCCTAAAAGCAGCAAGAGATAAGCAACAGGTTACCTACAAAGGGAACCCCATAAGGCTCTCAGCTGACTTCTCACAAGAAACACTACAGGCCAGAAGAGAATGGCATGAAGTAATCAAAGTCATGAAAAACAAGAATATGAATCCAAGACTATTCCACCCAGCAAGGCTATCATTCAAAATAGAAGATCAAATAAAGAGCTTCCAAGACAAAAAAAAGGCTAAGGGAATACATTAGCACCAAACCAGCACTGCAAGAAATGTTAAAAGGACTGCTGTAATTAGCAGTAGACATGGGAAGAAAAATAGAACCACACTAAACAAAAATGGCAATAAATAAGTACATATCAATAATCACCTTAAACGTAAATGGATTGAATGCTCCCATAAAGAGACACAGAGTAGCTGATTGGATAAGAAAGCATGACTCATCTATATGTTGTTTACAAGAGACCCACCTCTCAACAAAAGACTCACATAGGTTGAAAGTGAAGGGATTGGAAAAAAATTTTCCAAGCAAATGGAAAGCAAAAAAAAGCTGGGGTAGCAATTCTCATATCTGATAAAATAGATTTCAAAATGAAGACCATAACTAGAGACAAAGACGGCCACTACATAATATTGAAAGGATCTATCCAACAGGAAGATATCACCTTGATAAACATATATGCACCCAATATAGGAGCACCAAAATATATTAAAAATCTTCTGGAGGACTTCCAAGGAGAAATCGACAACAATACAATCATAGCAGGGGACTTCAACACCCCGTTGACAGCACTGGATAGATCCTCTAGGCAAAAAATTAGCAAGGAAACAGAGACTCTAAATGAAGCACTAGACCAAATGGATTTAATAGATATCTACAGAGAATTACACCCCAAAACTACAGAATACACATTCTTCTCAAGTGCACATGGGACATTCTCAAAGATAGACCACATGATAGGACACAAACTAAATCTCTACAAGTTCAAGAAGATTGAAATCATATCAAGCATCTTCTCAGATCACAATGGCATGAAACTAGAAATGAATTGCAACAAGAACATGCAAAGACATTTCAACACATGGAGGCTAAATAGCATGTTATTAAACAATGAATGGGTCACCGAGGAGATCAAGGAAGAAATTAAAAACTTCCTGGAAACCAATGAAAATGAACACACAACAACACAAAATCTATGGGATGCAGCGAAAGCAGTTCTGAGAGGGAAGTTCATAGCACTACAGGCCTACCTCAAAAAACAAGAAAAA